TTCGGGCCAAGGCATCATCTGAGTTAACTACTGTTGTCACATATTTAATCAATAATTGGAATAATAATATTTCTGTCACAAATATTTCATTAACTTATCCTCTCTCAAGGCAACATTAATGTGTTATAAAAAGTTTGGCTTAATTAATTTTATATCCTCATAGACAAGGCAAAAACTAATTTCCAATAATTAATTAATTTTTCTCTCGACATAATTAATTAATTTAACAATAAAAATAGTTCTAGAACAATTATTCCAACTATTAAATAAACATACAGAGTATATGCCCAAATTTAGCCAAGACCCTAATTCGGGTCCTAACTCATACTAGATATCAACAGTGCATAAAATAAAAGAACATTTTATTAAAAGTTGTAAAAATGAACGTACAACCAAGAGCAGAGTCGGAGCCACTTTAGGACAACCGGAACAAAAGTAAACTAAAATATTAAAATATAACCGAGAAAAGAGCGGAGAATGGAGTTCCGGGCCTTAAAGACCCGGAAGAAGGCTTGATTGGAATGAAGGGGCGAATGCCTCCTTTTATAGGAGAAATTTTCGGTCCAGGCCTCCGACAGGCGTGGGCCTGAGGTCCAGGCGCACGCCTCGAGTGTTAGTGCTGCTGCCGATTGATTTGGGTACGTGGATTGGCAGATTTTTTTCCTTTCTTGCATCAAGTACGGAGCTTCCTTCTTTGTTCTTTTCTTTTTTATTCTATTTGATGATGGATGGCGGCTGAAGATAATTACTGCTGCTACACAATTGGCCGGCCAGTCAGGTTGCGCCACGTGGCAGCACCTGGTTGGCCGGATTTTGACTCGGTCGAAAACATTTTTCTAAAAATACAGTCTTGCTCAAAATTTTATTCTGAACAACTTTTCCTTCTGCGCCGACTTCAAATTTCGAACCAATTTGGGTCAAACGAATTAATTTTGAATTGAATCAACATTTTTTACTTTTTCTTTCCAAACAATTTCTTTTTGGTGCTTTTTCAATCCGTTTGACCTCAAATCTTTCGACGGGGCGCATCACCACATTTGAATGCACATTTTTCATTTTATGGATTTTCGCCATCTTTTGCCTCATTGCTTCGTTGTATTCCATTTGCACAATCTTTTATCTTTTTGTACCACTTTTGACTCAATTTTTATTTTTTTTACAACAAGACATAACTTTTGTGCACTTTTACAATTATGAATAAAAACTTATAAAAATCATTGAGAAATTGATTTGTTTAATCCAAAATTGGACCACAACACATTAAATATAGAGAAAATAAGTGCGTACAAAACGGACTTATCAGTGGGTGGTGCGGGTGGGTAGTAGGAGTAGGAGGGGGGGTTCGGGTATTGGGTGAGATGAGCCTAGGCTGGGTAGGGGGTTGGGCTGTAGTTGGGCCGAGGGCCCAAAAGGCCGGGGGATGGGTTAGTGAACTGCCAAGGGTTTGGGCCGATGGGTTGTCGCTGATTCGGGCCACGTCCGCGTCCACGTCCGCGCCCACGCTGTCCCCCGTTGCTGCCTCTGTTCTGACTGCCGTAGGAGCCCCGTCCAGAGCCGCCGCTGGACTGCCGCGGCTGGCCTTCGCCTGCTGTGTGGTTGCCGCTGCCACCACCGGTGCTAAGGAGGGCAGTCGGCGGCCCGGAGTTGGAGAGGGCGTCGGTTTGCTGCTGTTCTACCAGGAGGAGGGCCGAGCGTACTTCCAGGAACGTCGGGAAAGGATTTTGATACTGCAGGAAGTGCACTTGGCCCCGAATGTCTTGGGGCAAGCCTTGAAGAACCTGGAGAACGAGGGCATGTTCGGTCACCGGAGCATCCACATCGTCAAGGTAGTCTGCCAGATTTTTGAGGAGATGACAATAGTCATTGATGGACCGATTTCCCTTGACGGTTGTTCGGAAACGGTGCTCCAACTGCATCGCCTGAGCCTGTTTGTTGTCATGAAAGAGTTTGTGAATCGCCGTCCAGAGGGCATGAGCGGATGGACTGTTGGCGAGGACGAGATCCGAAACTTCATCAGAGACCGTGGATAGGATCCACCCTTGAAGAAGAGCATCAAATTGAAACCATTCAGTGTCGTCGGAGGATTTGGCTTTGGTGGTGCCTTCAAGAAAACCCATGAGATTGAAGCGGAGGACGAGGAGACGGAAGAGACGACTCCACTTCTTATAGTTGGGTTCTGAGATGCTGAGTTTGACAGGGATATGAAGCTTGATGCTGGAGATTGTGGTGAAGGCAAGGTGGGGAGATTTGGAGGAGTTGCTGTTGTCGGAGGAGATGGAAGAAACCTCGGCCATGGTGGATTGCCGGCGGCGAGGGAGTCTGCCGAGAGAGGGAGAAAGCCGAGAGGGAGAGAAGCGGCTGAGAGAGAGCCGAGAGAGAGAGTTAGGGTTTGAGGAGAGCTGTGATTGATTATTGCTCCGATACCATGAAGAATGATTAATTTCCAATAATCACGAAGGTGAGGTTACATGTGTATATATAGAAGAGGGTTTCCTAGTTAGGGTAGGAAACATATTAATGGTAACCTATACACATAAGGTAACTACAATAATTACAATATTAAATGTATAGTAACAATATATTTAACATAGAGTCACAAACATATAGTTCACAAATTTCACAAATTTCTCTTTTGTGTATTTTAAAATAAAATATCTTTTATTATTTCAGTACATCTTATTTCTAAGAAAATGCTAAAAGGGTTAGTTTGTAAATTTTGTAAACTGTTTGTTTGTGATTCTAGCATTACTCTTTCAATATACATTCACTCTATTCCAATCTAGATTTTCTAGTTTGACTTTTAAGAGTCCCTTGATCATAAATTGGTAGAAATTATATTTAATTATAATATAAATTTAAAATAATTAAATTAATTTTAAGATATACTCCGTAGTTTTGATATATCAAATTTTTATAACTTTTATATAGAAAAATACATGATGTAGAATCCGAAAAAAAGTAGGAAAATAAACACAGTAACACAAGAAAAAAGGAAACTAAAATACTAAATAACATTGAGATTCTATATCCTATTATCTACCCGCAAGCTGATTAAGGGATGGGCAACTTAGAGCACAAGCACTAAAACGAAACTGGCGGAAGCAGTTTTGTGAGAATATCGGGTAGCCGCTCCGTGGGCGAAGCATGATGAGTGGTCATTGTGCCTACTATGACTTCATCTCACACGAAATGATAATCAAAACCAACATGGTTCATCCGATCATACAAAAGTGGATTCTTTATGACGCATATAGTAATGCATTGACACAGTAAAGGCATGTTTTGCAGGAGGAATATGAAGAGCATCTGTAATATAATGAAGTCACATAGCCTCTGCCACCCACGCGGCAATAGCTCGATATTCAACGTTAGTAGAAGATTGAGAGACACACATCTATTAATTTCTCGTACAACAAGAGATGAGATTTGGTCCAACAATAAGTAGGTAGCAAGTAATAAACTGACAATCATCCTTGTCATTGGCCTTGTTAGAGTCAGAATAAAGAAAAATATCAAGGGACGTTTTTGAGAAAGAAGACATAAAATTAAGGTACCTTTTAAGTGACAGAGAATGTTTTTAAAGTTAAGTAATAATTTACACTAATTTTCTTTATTATTTTAACATTATTGAGTAAATTTAATTATGGAATACATTATAGAGATCATCGCTTTTATTAGAATATAAAAGGATTTTTCTAATTTTATACGTTCACTTCATTTATAATAAAACTATCAAAGAACCGGTGTGGTAAAATCGGGAAACACTTACTTAAATTTTTTTAAAAAACAAAAAATACACATTTAGGGAGGACAAGACTGAAGCTTTGGATATTTTTAATTAAATTATACAATACAATTGCCTATTGTGATATGATATATGTAATTACATTATAGAATATAATTGATTCAAAAAATGTGTCACCATGACATGCTGCATGTATTTACACTAACATTCTTTATGATTTCAATATTATTGAGTAAATATAATTATGGAAGAGAGATCATCTCTTTTATTACAAAATAAAATATTTTTCTAATTTCATTTTTCTTCACTTTATTTAAGAAAAAACTATCAATGAATAAATACGATTTCCTTCCTTAAAAAGGACACTTCCTTAATCTCTAAAAAATCCATATTTGTTTATGAAAAACTTAAATGAAGTTAGTTTTTATTTTATTTATTTTCAATATTAATATAAAATAAAATATAAAAATATATGTTAATCTCTACATTAAAACACTATTAAAAAAGAGAAATAGACTAATTTTAAATGATCACATATTTAAGTAAAATAAATTAAAAAGGAATGATTTTACGTGCTTATATTATTTTACATCCAAAAAACTATAAAAATCAAATGTTTTTGTAAATTTCTATTTGTAATTTTAAAAATCAAATGTAATTTCTATTTGTAAAATCAAATGTTTTTGTAAAAAACCAAATGTTTTTGTAATTTTATATCTCCTATTAATTTCTAACCTACTCATCACATCACACTTTTTCTCTATTAATCTACTCATTTCGTTTTACTTTATCCATCACATCAAAGAGCATTTTTGGAAAGCCAACACCAAAATTAACTCTTTTTAAATCCTTTTAAAGTCAAAATAGAAAGGTTTTTGTGGGATAGAGGAAGTATTAATTTTGCCAAATTGGTATTCACATACTGTTAAAATTTATATTATTATTTCACAAGTGAGAGTAAAAATAAACTTGAAATTATTAGTTTTACATGTCTTTGGTAAACCTTATAACTTCACAAAAAAATATTGCATACCTCACAAATTTTCAAAATATATATTCTAATTTTTAATTGTACATAGTAGAAATTTCATTAGTGAATTTTATATGTTTTATGTTGTTTGATATTGGAAAATTTTTGTCACGATGAAAAATAACAAAAACAAAAAAAAATTGTTTTACACTATGCTTGGCATGGGTCAAAATACTAGTAAATAGAGAATAAGGAGTGATGCACAAAGGATTAATGTGAATAAAGAATGAAAAAGTAAGACTTTGAATAGTGAGAAATCCTATATTGTATGGATGATTAATAAAAAAATTGCAACTTGAGGTTTAAAAAAGTCATAATTTGAGATTAATTCCAAACATTAAAAATAAAAAGAATTCTTTCAATCATTGGATTTAAATATTTTTTAAACCAAATTTCAAATTTTAAAAAGAATTCTTCAATCATTTGAGTGGGATTGATGATTCTAGTTTGCAATTAAAAGGATTTACCCGCAACGGATACAACAAATTTAGTAAAAAGGAGTTCTTTTTTTTAATATGTGACTTTTTTATCCCATGAATGGTTGCTTCTTCAATACTAATTTAATAAAATAAATTTGATTTTAGTATTTTTTTTTAGTTTATTGTATATCCCATCAGTTGTACCATCTTCAGTATTAATACATTTACATGATTTTGTTTTAATAATTTTTCATAATTATAAATTTTAAATAAATATTGGGCGTACGTGCATCGCACGGGTAGCTATACAAAAGTAAAGTATGTTCACAAAAGTAAATATCAAAATTAGTGTTACTTGTAAGATACCTGTACGAGTGGTAATCTTATTTTTTGTTGTACAATAGATTATTCTCTATTATTATTTATTTATTTTACTTGACTGGGTAAAAAATTTAAACAAATAAAATAGGATAAAAAATTGAACAAATTCTGTACAAACAAAAAAGGGAAATAATAAAAGATTTAAAATAAAATACCCAAAAAATTAAATAGAAAAATGAAAGTAAGAATAAATTGTAATTTTAAAAGATAAAATTTAATTTGAATAAAAATAGCCAAATAGGTAAATACAAAATACTCCGTATAAAATAAAAAATAAAAGTATAATCACTGTAGTAAAAGTTAGGTTACTCCGTATTATAAAGTGAGATTGTGAGTAATGAGTATATAGTCAACGCTGATGTAACGTTGAGTCCAACTAATTTGAAATGAACAATGATTACACCGTTTTCGAAGTTAATCTACACCGTTAAAATTTTATCCAAAACGCTAACGCTAATTAAAAACGATATTCCCGGACGGACTATGGGCCTGTTTGGGAATAGCGTTAGCGATTAGCGTTAGCGTTTTAAAAAGACTATCTACGGGCAGCGTTTAGCGTTAGCGTTTTCAAAGTAATCTGCACCGTTAAAATTTTATCCAAAACGCTAATGCTAATCTTTAAAGTTATTCCCAAACAGACCATATATATTATATCGAAGTAACTTTGAGCATAACACGTGGCTTTACACCATTACACATTTACATTCATTTCCAAATCTTTCTCTTTCTCCATCAATTTTGGGAGGGAGAAAGTCAGCTCTCTTTCATTCTTTTTTTCATTTTGGGAGTAGGAACTAAAGTATGGTCAAATTCAACGTTGCGTTATTACGGTTCTTAATTGTGCATGTAACGTAATTTACCTCTCTTTATTTATTATCAACAGTTCTATATCTTAAAATTTAAATCAACTAATTCATATTATACTTCCTCCGTCTAGAAATGTTTTTCCCATTTAATTTTTCATGGTCTTCAATATTGTACTTTGACTATTAGTATTTATATTTATACATAAATATATTTATAAAAAATCAATATTTTAAAAATACATTTCATTAAGAATCTATTGATATTAAATTTATGTCATAGTTATTTTTTCACAAACCAGAATCACAGTTTACAAATTTTGACCAAGAAAAATTAAATATGAAGAACGTTTCCAGACGGAGGGAGTAACAAAAGACTTTCTCCGTCCCGTGCTTAAAGATACTCAAATTACGATCACAATCTCACACTTTTTAAAGTAATTTTATTAAAAAAATTGTATTTAAATTAAAGATGTATTTACATATTTAAAAGAAGAATTTACTTAAATAGCACTAAAACATAATGACTTTTCCTAAATAGCACCACATGTGTTTTTCTTCCCAATGTAGCACTTTTAGTCATTATGAATTAGTCATTATTCAAGTAAATATTCGTCAGCACTGGACATTATGGACATTATTAAGTATTGTTTAGAGAATAAAACAATTTAAGTGTTATTTAGGGAAATGACTTAAGTTTTAGTGCTATTTAGTGCAAATATTTCTATTTAAAATTACGTAAAAAAATAGAAAAACAGAAGTAATTTTTTTTAATATTGATAATATGAAATAAAAAAACCTCGGTAAGAGTTTGCATTAAAAACATATCCTTTTGCATATTTAATAATTGAAATACAAAATCAACAATAAAATTACTCCGTATTAGATTAGTATCCATTGTTTAAAGTTTTACATTCAATCTATATGAAACTGCATGCATGCATATTAAAGCTACATTTTGGGAGGATATATAAATTAGAGCTAAAATAAAAATGTACTTGGTATTTAAAGAACAAATTCGGAATCCGCTATTCTGTTCTTCGTTGAAACAGTGTAACTAGCTTTTTGGAGCACCTTCAATGCTCTGTTTGTAAATCCTACCTCCATAATCCCCTCTAAACCCCACTTCAGCCCCACCGCCCATGCCCCTTCAAATAATAATAATAATGACAACAACAACCGTAATAATAATAATAAACACATAAAAATAGAACATTTTTAAAGTCATTGTTTGGTAAAACTAGAAAGAGTTTGAAAAAATGGAAATTGTTGGAATATTGGAATAATAATATTACTCTTTGAATTATGTAGTACATGATAGAGTATATATAGGAGAGACTCCTAACACAACTAGGAATAGAGAATGAAAACTAACATACAACATCTATCACAAATAGGATTAGAAAGCTGAGTAAAAATGAAACACTACCATAACCAATACTACAAGAAGTACTATTAGTATTACTGTCTAACATCCCCCCTCAAGCTGAACTCTGGCTGAAGCAAGAGGAAGCTTGGACACTAGCTGGAAACTGGAAACTTTGAGAAGAGAGAAGTCTGAAATGCGCCGGTGGCTGCTCACGTCGTTGGAGAAGAGAGAAGTGTGACGCGCGCCGGTGGCTGCTGACGTCGTTGGAGAAGAGAGAAGTCTGACGCGCGCCGGTGGCTGCTGAGGTCGTTGGAGAAGAGAGAAGTCTGACGTGCACTGGTAGCTGCTAACGTCGTTGGAGAAGAGAGAAATTGACGTGCGCTAGTAGCTGCTGACGTCGATGAAGAAGAGAGAAGGTTGACGTGCGCTTGTAGCTGCTGACGTCGAAGAATAATAGAGAAGGCTACTGGAGGTGCCTGTTTGATTAAAGATTCTTGACATTTTTTGTCTTTTTCTTGGATCGGGCAATGCCCTATTTTCTTCTTGAAGGGGTGAGTTGTAGAGGTCTTATTTCCTCTTTCACTACTTCCCCTCTTGGCTTTGCTTTTGTGCTGATTTACTTTGGATTTTTATTGGTTCAACAGAAGAGAAAGAGAAGGGAGGTTGATGATTAGAATGAGTGATTTTAGAGAGAAAAAGTAGGTTAAGAATTGGAGATGGAAAAAAA